CCAATTAGCCCGGTAAGTACAAGTTCCATCAGCCTTTCAAACGTTGCTGGATCATTGCACAACCCAAACGGCATTACTTTAAATTGCCACAGACCCTTTCCCGTCGAGAACGCAGTTTTCTCCTTGCCTTGGGGTCAATTTCAACTTGCCAGTAGCCCTATTTACTCCTACAAGCATGTCCAGCGTGTCATCAATTCTTGGCAAGAGATAGCTGTCTTTCTTCGTAATGTCGTTCAGACGGCGGTAGTCAACACAAAACCGCATGCTGCCATCCTTCTTCTTTACCAGCACCACGGGTGTACACCATGGACTAGAGAAAGGTTCAATAACACCATCCTTCACCATTCCTTCAATCATGGTTTCCACTTCGTTTTCACGTGCTACCGGCAATTTTCTTGGCCGCTGACGGATAGGCAATTCTACTCCTGTGTTTATTTTGTGTTGAACTAAGCCAGTCTTTCCTATGTCAGCATCGTTTGATGAGAATACAACAGCATACTTGAGTAACAACTTCTTCGCCTTGACTATTTCGTTCGGGGAGAGAACGCTGCGACAGTCTTCCAAAAGTGTGGTCACTCTCGTTTGTGCATCCTTGCTGGGGGTCTCACTCGATAGATATTGGCACCGACGTAACCAATCCACTTCCTCATAAGTACCAACCAGCGTGCTTTTTTCTATAATCTGTTCCCGGTCACAAAGGTTCAGCACACGTACTCCTGAGATGTCAGTGGTTCTGACCAAGGTTCGAGCTACTTTTCATAGAAGGTCATTGTTTACCCTTTCCACAAGTACACAACGGTGAGCTTGTCCAGCGTTTCGAGGAAGACTAACCGGCACAATCGTTTCCCATCTCGGCGGAAGAACATTCTTCTTAATGCTATACACGTTCCCTGGTAACGCACCTTCCATAAAAAGTCCCTCCTGTCCACATTTCGAAACACCTTGCTTAACGTCGACCTCACAACTATTAGTCCTCATAAAATCTAGGCCCAGGATGCAGTCGTCCATTATATCAGCCACGATGACATTATGCAGGTAGATCACGTTGCCTAGCTTCAACTCCATCTCCTTCTCTCATCGGACGGGTATACGCTGACCGGTGGCTGTTACCAAATTAATTCGTTCTCGGTTGTATGCGGAGTCCCCAAGGAACAGACTTATAAGTTGGGAACTAACAACCGTACGAGAGGCTCCAGTGTCTATGGTCAGTTTACACGGCATTCCGTTGACCTCGCCCTGAATGATTAGACTGTTCCCATCATGGGTTTGTGAGATCGAGATCCTTGGGGCTCTTTTAACATCAGCCAGCACCGCCCCGCAGTTCTAGCTTTTACTCGTTTCCCTGCTGCTGCTGAGCGGTGCTATTGGCCGCACTGCCCTCCTGAGATCGTTCACCTTCCCTTTCTAGGCTTCGCTTAGGGCAGCTGGATCGAAAATGGCCCCTTTCCCACAGCCATAGCACCTAGGGCTGTATACTTTATTGCGGTCGCGAACTGTAGCTGCTGCATCCTCTCTGACGCGATGGGAACGATGATCCTGTCGCACGGCTTCCACCTCCAGTGCATGGGCCAAGGCGTCCTTAAGCGTCTCGTGGTGTCCGAGCCTCACAGCAGCTCTGACTTCCAGGTCGCGCATGCCGTCGATGAATGTCTGCACCAGGTTCCCTTCAATAAGTGCAGGTACAGACCGGTATGCTTTTCGCACCACCTTCTCCACCTCTAGAGCCCACTGCTGTAGGTTTTCGTTGATGCGCTGCACGCGATCTTTAAGCTGCGCACAAAAGACGTGTTCCAGGTGAGCGTCGCCATATATCGTCTCCAAATGCTTCAAGGAGCTGCTCCTAAGTCACTTCCTCACCGAGAGCTTCCAGAACTTTTAAGGCCTGGTCGCGCAGGCCTAGTGTGAAAGCAGTCATGGCCTGACTTTTATTCCAGCCGTTCGCTTTCATGACAGCCTCGAACTGGATGTTGTAAGCCGACCAGGAAGAAGTCCCGTCGAACGGCGGCACTTTGAACCCACGTAGCGAAGGTGTAGTACGGGAGCTGTATTTGCATCCCCAAGTTTGAGTTCGTCCAGCGCTTTCTTTACTCGGTTGATTTAGGTTTCAGCTTCCGACAGGCGGTTGTCATGTTGAGCAACCTTATCTTTCACCTCCCTTATCTCTTTTCCGAAGGTAGCGTGAAGGTCTTTCATGAGAAGCATCTGCTCTTTCTTATCGCGTTGGAGCTGCTCTTCTAAACGACGGGCCTGTTCTTCCTGCCGACGGGCCTGTTCCTCTTGTCCGCCCCGCAGCTGCTCTTCCAATCAGCGGGCCTGTTCCTTCTATCCACCCCGCAGCTGCTCTTCCAATCGGCGTCCTGTTCCTCCTGTCGGCGGGCCTGTTCCTCCTGCCGGCAAGCCTGCTCCTGCAGCATCATCATGAGAGCACCCAAGTCAGGTGCTGCAAGTGTAGGAGCTGCTGACGGGCCAGCCTCCGTGGCTGGCAATTGGCCCTCCGACGTCTGCGGCGTTGCACCACCAATTTGACTTCGGGTACGGACACCCTCCGATTCCTCCTTCAGTAAAATCGGCATTATTTGACCCCACTTCTGAGACCAATTGTTACGAGCTTAGGGTTCGTGACAATAAAAACTGCCGATTGAATTACCAAAATTTTACACTTTTATTACCGAACACCAATTAAAACTTAAAAGACACTAATAATTAATCACAATGATTCACTTTATTTCGCTCCGAAGCTTCGCTTGTCTCGCCAAATTCAATACCGGCCGATTGCGGCTTGCAGTGGCTTTATATAGGGCTCTTCCACGAAAACATACAGAATATTCCAGAATATTCAAGTACATACGCGCGCCAACCGACCAGGCGCAGAAAGTTCGAGTATGGGGCTTCTAGAAAGCTTAATTCTTCTGTTCGATACTAGATGGCGCTGTTGGTCGAAAGTCAAGATTGACATTTTCTAGGAAGCCCTCCTCGCTCTGGTCCCCGACACTAGATGGCGCTAGTTCCAGGTACCTGACGTCAACTTAGGCGTGCAACAATATTATATTCTTTTTTATAGGATTCTGCTCACCCATAGAATACTATAATACTTATAGTATTCTATGGGTGATGTCCAGACTTATAGTAATACTTATAGTATTCTATGGGATCACCTGATGTTAAATGACAATCGCTGCCCATGAACAACTGCAACACCAGGGGAATTTGCATATTCATAGGAATATTTTGCCATTAAGAGGATATCGTAACGCACTTTTATTTTAATTTAAAATAAAAAATGCTGAAAAACGTAAAGCTAGACGCGTGATGCCAAAACCCTAGCTCATGGGGAAAAAAACATGAAACGTAAAACGTGGCATAATTTTGGACAAAAAGCAGATTTTTTCCATGTACAATATATTTTGAGGGCCTGAATTCAGCCCTACTCGTATGCAGATAGAGCGCAGAGTGACACGTCCTCTCTCTGGAAAGCCAAGCAGCGGTCTAGTATGAATTTATAGCTATGTACACTAGACGTCTCGTGAAACATAGAAAATTCAGCTCTGAAAAGAGCTATTATATTTTCAGCATGGAACATGATATTGTTCTTGCGAAAATGTTAACACACGCAGCAGGAATGCAGATCCCACAAAGCGAGCAGTCAGAAGAAATGGGACACCTCTTTTCGATTATTCAAAGTACACTGAGGACACCTTCAATTAAACGGAACGAATAGGTCGGCAACACATATACGGAATCTCATTTTGTCCGCAAAATTTCGAACGAAAAAATACCGTAAATCCCGAATCGGAATCGCCGAACTTCTTACGACCAATCACGTGTTGGTGAATTATAAGATCCTAAGGCCGGCCACATACATACGGAATTCCGTTTCGAGTGTCCGTTTCGGAATTCCGATACGGGATTCCGAACGCAGTAAGTCCATTGAATAAATTTAAGAAATCATTATGCAGTAAGTCCATATAAAATAAATGACCCGTTACCTACCTACAGTAGTTTATCGTATGGAATTTTGCAAGCAAAACGTTCAGTTTCGTCTGAAAACGTATGAAGTGTGTCTTTTTACATTTTGTAAAATTTTAGTATATATGTAATCACATTTTTGTAATAAACTATTCTACTCTTTTTTACTCATTCTACTCGCTTCTACTTATACTACTCGTTTCTACTTGATGACCCGTCATCATCATCATCAGAAATTGATGTAAATGCGAAGTTTTATAGTACTTTTAAAATATTTATAGAAAAGTAATAAAGCTATTTTATTCTAATTAAACATTAAAAGGTAAGTGTTAAACAGATGTTCTTCTAATAAATTAAACTATTATTGTAATAAATTAAGTAATATAAATTGGTGAAAATAATATTTTACCCATGGCATTTTCTTACAAAATTTGACATCGTTAGAATTTTTCATTTCTTATATTTTTATAGCTTAAATCAAAATATTTTTTCTTCCACCTAATTTCCTTGAGGTTTTTCAAATAGATTATATTTTTGTTTCCTAAATTTATCAGTGATTTCAGATATTTTAAGCTTAGAAAAGACGTTAAAAGGAAAATTAATAAAACCTCTGTTTAGTTTCCATGATAGCATCTACAAATACTGTATAAATCTAAAAAAAAAATCAGCCAACTATTTAGACCATAAATTCCTAAAGTTATTAGTTATTAAAATTTGTGTGAGATAAACTATTGATAGATATCAACAGGTTTGAAAAGTACTGTTTTTGAGCTAATAAGCGCTTGGAACATGAATACGTCCTTAATCACTGTACACATTAATAATGTAATGCAAAAGGTTTCTTACATTTTTATTTTCCTGTTCAGTTCGCGATTTTTTAATGATTTGTATCAATGGTGGTCATCATATGATTTAATCACTTTAAATGGTAAGAAATACAGGTCAAGATAAGATTTTTTAAGTATTTAAGATAATAATTTTTACTTATAATTGCGAATGGATTCCGCTTAGTTTTTAAATTAGAGTCTACGTACCTCCCGTGTGAGCCTTTTTGTATTGCTTTCCATCACCCTCAGCGAAAGTAAAAAGAAACTCTTCAGGTGCTGCTCTAGCAGTTGTAAGTACACAATCAGGCGCTTCGCTTTGTAAACTGTGGAAAAACGCACGCATTGCGTCCGTAGCAGCGAATAAAGCAATGTCCGTGGAAGACACTCCTAAAGCTTGACGTGCACGTTCGATCGATACCCGGGGTATTGGGCGAGACCATGATACGACCTGGGGCAAATAGTTTTCATTAATATAACTTATTTAATTCATTCACCAGCTTAAGGTAAGGCGAAGAAATGAGTTCTTAAAAAAAATTGTTTTTTATATTTTTTGCCGTTATTATATGTACTGTTTTCTGTCTTTTTAAATAAAATATTAAATATTTTTAAAAGGCACAAAAAAAAAAACAAAAGTCGAATGGCGGATTCGAACCTACAAGCCTTTGAATTAGAGTTCTACACTATATTCTTCCTCATTCTCTCGCAGGCTAAAACCTATAGATGTAAGTACATGCTTATCCCTTTTTAGTGTCGTTTTTTTTGTTTCATCTAGTTTCAAATTACAAAGATACTAAAGAAGCTTAATAACCGATTCTGACGCGGCGGTTTCTTGGTATCAGTGCCTGGTTATGGAGGTTAGCGGGATCCGAACCACGGTTGCACCGCTGGCCGACCATAGATAGTTGGCGGCCCAATTAATGAGCCAGCCAATCATGAAAGGCTGCACCGCCATCTTACGAAAAATCCTGGGATGGCGACACCATGCCGGTTGGCGACCGGAGGAGAAGGCCTGGTGGCGATTTCCAGGGGGGTTCGGGCGTCCCCGCGATGTCCGTGCTAGGTACCATCGATGTTGTGAATCAGTTCGCGTCCCTAGGTTATATGTGTGACGCTTCGTCCAACTGCCATGCTCTCAACCTATTCACTCCAGCAATGATGAAAAAACCAAAAAAGAAGAGGAAGTCTGTACAGCGGTTGCACTCCCTGTCCATTAAAGTGCACCTCACAAACATCCGAGGCCTGCGCTGTAATCTCAATGCAATCCATGACCACCTAAAGACTGACAAGCCGCACTTGCTGTTCTTGACTGAGACACAGATCAGATGTCCTCTGGATGCGGTGTACCTTGGCTACCCTGGGCACACTTTGGAGCATAATTTCCATCAGCGCGCCGTAGTCTCCGTCCGTAACGTCCGCAATGACATCTGCTGTAAGCGTCTCCGTCACCTTGAAAACCCCACTTCTTTACGATCTGGGTATTCATAGACACAGGAATTGATAAAATTATTTATTCCTCTATCTATCGATCGCATAGCGGTGACCAGGAGACAACTAGGCTATTTGAACAAATCAGTGAAGCCTCTGATGTGGCTCTCAATAGGTACCCTAATGCACAGTTGGTTTTTCTGGGGGATTTTAATGCCTGTCATCAGGACTGGCTGTTCCCATACCAGAAGACCAACCACACTGGGAGAGAGGCTTGGAACTTTGCCTTCTCGTTGCGACTCTCCTAACTGGTACAACAAGCAACTAGGGTACCTGATGTGGATGGGCACATAGCATACCTTGACCTTCTGCTTACGACCGATCCAGACAGGTACAATATTCAGGTTACCTCAGCCTTGGGAACTTCTGACCACTGTCTGGTGAAATCTGTGTCGTTATATTCCCCACCCAACTACGATTTCCACAGTGTACGGCAATTGTGGCGATACAAGTCAGCAAATTGGGATGAAATGCGGCATTTCTTTGCATCTTATACTTGGCGGCAGGTCTGCTTCTCGTCTGAAGATCTGTTGAGCTGCGTGGATACCATAACCGATGTGATACGTCAAGCAATGGAGTATTTCATCCCTTTTGCTGACGTGCCCATTGGTGGTAAAGCTCGCCCATGATTAAAACGCCGAGTGCGCTCGTGCTGAAAAGCACAAGCATATGACGTACTTATCCTGGGTCGATACTCGAAACCGCAGAGCTCCGGATGTTAGCCTCAAGAAGAGAGCCTTTAAGCAAGCCGCCAAGTCTTGCAAAATGGCGTTACGGCAAGCCAGTTTTACCGCATTAAACGCATCGGTACAAAGCTCTCTGTCAAACCATCTGGCAGAAGAGCTTTTATGTCTCTCGCCAAAGCGGTCGAGACAAACTTCTGTCGGTCTACACTGCCTCCGTTGGTAAAACCAGATGGCTCATTGGCGCATGCTCCTAAAGAGAAAGCGGATTTATATGCTTCTCTTTTTGCTTGCAATTCACGTCTGGACAGTGACAACAGTGTACCACCTCAATTACCTCACTGCGGTACCTCTATGTCAGAGGTTCGTATCACCAACAAGGACGTTCTTAAAACCTTGCGAAGTCTAGAAGTAAAAAAAGCTAGTGGACCTAATGGAATGCCGGCCATAGTTCTAAAGGTCTGTGCCCCTGAGTTGTCTCCTGTGTTGACGCGCTTGTTCCGCCTCTCATTCAGGACTGGAATAGTGCCCAAATCTTGTAAGCTGGCCAATGTGCAGCTTTTGCCTAAAAAAAGTAGTCGTACCGACCCTGCCAACTATCGACCAATTTCAATTACCTCCATACTCTGCAAGATTATGGAGCGTATATTGAACTCCCGCTTAATGGCATACCTATAACAAAATGACCTCCTTAGTGATCGGCAATACGGGTTTCACCGAAATCGGTCAGCTGGAGACCTTCTAGCATATGCCACACACGTATAGGGCGTGGAACTCGAGAACAGCGGGGAAGCACTTGCTGTTTTCCTTGATGTCTCGAAGGCCTTTGATAGAGTTTGGTACGCTAGCCTTTTGGGTAAGCTTCCTGCGTACGGCTTATCCCCTGGTCTGATTGAATGGATAAAGTATCTCCTGAGTGAATGGTCTCTCCGGGTCTTCGTCGCTGCTCATCCGATCCTGTGGTGACTGACGCTGGTGTTTCTCAGGGGTCTGTTCTCTCTACAACTCTCTTCCTGCTGCATATTAACGATCTGCTTATTCCCGGTATCTATGGGTATGCAGAAGATAGCACAGTTGTAGAGAGATACCAACTAAGTGCTCGGGCCAGTCGGGATGAAATCCAGTCAGAAAGAGAAGCTATGATTAAGCGTGTGAATCTCACACTAAAGGCAGTCTCCAAATGGGGAGATGCCAATCTCGTGAGAACACCTCGAAAACACAAGCGTGTCTTTTCACCGCTAAAAGGAGCCCGCCCACCCTGGCTCCTACTCTCTGGAATGTATCCTTGGAGTACACTGACCGCCTTCAGTTGTTAGGGGTTGAATTTTCTCCGAACCTCAACTACGGGTGGTTCATTGAGTCCAAATCCAAAGCATCCGCAAGGAAACCTGGTGTTCTTGCAAGGGTGCGGCAGTACTTCACGCTGGGACAGCTCCTTACCTTATATAAAGCGCATGTCCGGTCGTGCATGGAGTACTGCTGTCACATATGGGCTGGTGTTGCAAAATGCCACCTGGCAGCGTTGGACTCAGTGCAGAGACGTGCTAAGAGGCTCATTGGTGATCTTGATTTAGTTGAAACCAACCTTGTCAGCCTCGAGCATAGGTGCAGAGTAGCCAGCCTCTTGGTATTTTATAGGATGCATTTCGGAGAGTGTGCGCAGAAATTGCACGCTTTAATTCCTCCCTCTCCTTTCCACCATCGGACAAACAGGCGGTCGGCGGGTCTTTTTTTTTTTTATTTATTATTTATCAAAAGTATTCTTACATATTTGCTTGATTTGTACCATTAAACCAATAGTGGTTTGTATTGGTACTCACATTCGTAACTAACGCACTGCTTTACATATAAATAAATACGCCTTCTTTATCTTGTAAGTGGTAAGCACCCATTTGCAATTCTCACCTGGGACTATTCGACGAACCGGTTCTATTAGGCAGCGCAGTCTTCTTAACTTTATACAGGCTGTTTCACTATTATACAAACTAAATTATAACTATGATTCTAAATGATGTTATAAGACGATGTTCTTTATATTATTGTAATAATATTTTTTGAGTTTATGTTTATAGTTTTTTGTGTTTAAATCTTTTTGAATGTTTTGCGGGATGTTGTTTATGAAAGTTGGGATTAAAAATTCAATAGTTCGCCTACCATAGTAATTTGAGATCCTAGGCACAATTAATTTTTGTTTAGTAATATTTCTTGTAATTACTGTATGAGATACTGGTATTTGGATGCTTTTATTATTGAATTGTTCAATTAATAGGGTCATGTGAAGTTTCATATGCATTGGTAAAATATTACAGTAATTAAAAATGTCTAATACGTTTTCTTTATATTGTTGTATTATTTTTTGGGGTACAATAAGTTTAAGTAATCTTAGCTGTAGTTTATATATTTTTTCAGTATATGACTTAAAGGTTCGTCCATAACTTGAGATTCCGTATGATATAATTGACTCAGCTAAGGCTTTATATATATTCAGCAGGACTTTATACGGTACTTTAGGCTTTAAGATATAGAATTTAGCCAGTATAGCTCGTAACTTCTCACAGAGAGAATCTATGTGAAATCTCCAGCTAAATCTATTGTCTATAATTAGTCCTAAGTAAGTGTGATGCGTTACTTGTTCTATTGCCTCACATTTACAAGCGATAGTTGAAGCGCAAGATGAAGTTGATTTGTGCAGACATCTGTGACTGTGAGCAATCTTAAAATACGTGTTGTGTTTTAGATAGCTTGAGTGAACGTGAATCACTTTGGTTTTATTTGCATTCAAGACAAGTCCCGCATCATGTGACCATTTGGATACCTGTGTAAAATCCTGCTGCAGCCATTTAGCAGCTTCTTTTAGATCTTTGCTGGCCGCCAAAAGGCACGTGTCATCTGCGTATTGATAAACGGAACAATGGTTGACAATATGTTCCATATCGTTGACGTATGCTAAATAGTGCAAGGGTCCAAGCACCGACCCTTGAGCTGTTCCTTCAGTAACATCTATAGCGTCGCTGACTTCATCACAAATTTTAACTTTATATTTGCGATTATTGAGGTAATCTTTGAACCAATCTAAAATTGGGCCGCGTACACCGGTATTCTCCAGTTTATTTAAGAGAATATCGTGTCGAAGCGTATCAAATGCTTTGCTGAAGTCTATGAATAACAGAATTACGTGGTTTCTGTCATCTAGATATTTGTTTACATCATTTGTAAATTTTGACAGCAGTTTAGAGGTAGATTTGTTAGGTTGAAAGCCGTATTGTGAATTTGATAGGATGTCATTTTTATTGTAGAAGTCTTGTATCTGATTACAAACATATTTTTCTACTATCTTGTCAATGACTGGTAGGATAGTAATTGGTCTATAGTTGGCATAATCACTGTGACTACCTTTTTTATATATCGGTCTCACTATACCTATTTTTAATTCATCTGGATACTTTGCTTGGCCTATGCTATTATTTATTAATTTAACAATAATTCCTACCATCTTATCACAGATAGATTGTATGTCAATACATCGAATATTATCCACACCAGGAGCTTTATTGATTTTAAGGTTTCTTACAATCTTCGTCACACTTTCATTTGAGGCTCTTTTAAAATACATAGATTTATTTTCGGGGAACATATATTCTGATTCATTTAGAAGCCGTTGGTTACATTTTGGCAGGATTTTTTTAACACAATTTCTAAATTCTTTTGCAAAGTTACTAGCTATTGATTTTGCGTCAATATTATTTTTATTAAATGTTTTTAATATTGCCTCATCCATTGAATTTTTGTTTCGACCAGATAGTGTATTCAAAATTTGCCATAGATTTCTAAGATTCATTTTATTACTATTTATTTGTTCCATATAATATTTATTTTTACACTTTTCTATTATTTTACGTGTCTTATTCCTTAATTTATTATACTCTAATCTTATTAATTTGTCCGTGGGATCATTTTTCCATTTAATGTATAATTCGTCCTTCTTTTTACACATGCTATTAATTTTACTATTTATCCAGGGGTCTTTATTTCTATTACTTATTTTATTACTTTTTTTGATATATTTTGAATTATTGTAACAATCATTGAATTTATTTTTGATGCAATTGTAAATTTTATTTGGACACTCTGTATCTCTGACTTCGCTCCAATCTAGATTATTAAGTAAACTTTTAACTTTATGATTATCAATCTGTTGGATTATTTTTGTATCACTCTGTATTTGTGTTTGGTCGAATCTTACGCACGAAAGTATAATCATGCGATGGTCAGCCAATACAGTTCCGAGCGCGGCCGAGTACAGATCTAACGAGCGCGTACGAGTAAAAATGTGATCTATGCAACTGCGAGTTGTTTCCTTACCGCGTATTTCAATTCTTGTGTAATCGGATATCGCGCTTGTTAGACCGCTCTCGGACATACTACTAATGTAGTAGTCTCGGATGTTGTCGCATGTTTTTAAGTCTATGTTAACGTCGCCTAAGAGATAAGTGTCACATAGTTGAAATATAGATTTTGATAATAGGCTACTTATTTCCTTTACAAATAGGTGCTTAGTCTCACTTGGTGGTCTATAGACAGCACAGATGTAAGCGGAGTATTTGTAAGGCGTAGTGATCTTACCGATAATAATCTCACTGTGTATTAACGAGTGACTTACTGGCGCGAATGAGTGAACATCTCTAACATATAGAATTATACCACCGCCTTTTCTATTTTTGCGCAACATACTGTGCATTCTATAGCCATAAATATTAAACATAGAAACTATATTGTTATTTATGTTTACTTCGCTTAAGATTAAAATATCAATAATCATTTTAGAAGAGTTAATTAATTGTGTTACATAGCAAAAATTTTTTATCAAAGATCTTATGTTAATGTGGGCAATATTAAGATAGATTTTATAAATAGGGGGTATATGCAAGCGAAAGTTGTTAATATCTGCACAATTTAATATTTCTTCATGATCAGAAAAGAGGACTTGAGTTACTAATTTTGAAATCTATTACCGCTTGGAACTTTGGCCGATTATTTCCGTTAGTGCGGAGAGCTTCTCAATGTCAGCTTCGCTTCGCGCGACCTTTGGCTTAGATTTGTCGTCTTTACGTAGTAGCACCTTTCCATCTTGGAACCAGACGTATTTGTAGGCCGGTCTTAGTTTTTGTTGTGCTAGCCATAATAACGACTTATTGGCTTTGGTCAGGGCGCGTCGTATGATCACTTTCGTCTTAGCAACTTCCACAGGGGCCTCGGAGATGATTTGTTCTACCACTACTGCTTCCTTTTTCGAGGCTCGCACCCATAAGCTTACATTTTCTGCATGTTTGAACTGTACTTGGATGTTTCCATCTTGGTTATTTCGACCTTCTACACGAGTAATATTCACTACTTGCGTCCTGTCCATGTTGAGTGTCTCAGCTAGTTTGAGAGATATATTTACAAGGTTTTCATCTTTAGCTTTAGGAATACCTATCACTTCTATCACATTGTCTAAACGCTGTTGTTCAATATTACGTAGATATTGTTTCAGTGAGCTCATTTCAAGCTCAAGATGGGTTTTTTCGTTATGAAGGTAGTTGTACTTCTTTTCTAATTCCTGGATATGTTTGTTTTGAGCTTCGACAATTTTGGAAAGATCATCAATTTTTGTGCAACAGAAGCTCACTGATGCTTCGATTGGTTGAAGTTCTTTCTTTAAAACTTTTTTCATTTCTGCTGTTATATCTTTTAGAAACTTCTCTGTGTCTATCATACAATTGCCGGAGCTATTGTCAGAGACCGCGACATCATTGTCTTCATCGTCTTCTTCTGGAATAATGAAGGATGACTTTCTGTTAGGTGTATTCTGATGGCACTCTTCGCATGTCCAGTCTAGTCTGTCCGCATTACGAAGCACAGATAGTTGCTTCGCGTTGAGACCAAAGCAAGCTTTACTAGCATGAACCACCTTGCCACAGGATCTGCATTCCAGTCCGGGTACCTTTGTGGTTATCCCTTTGTTACAGATGTCACATTTAGTCATTTTCTTTTCGTATTGAAATTTTATTTACGAGGGTAGTTACCAAACGTATAGAATAGTGTTTCCACAGAACCGACACACACAGCAGCGCGCGAACGCCTACCCCTCACCCCTATGTTGTCGATATTCCACGCATTAGAACCAAAGGGTTTACTTCGACAATTTCAATGCGTACACTTACCACCAGGTGGGATTGTAGTCAAGCACTGGCTTATAAAAAGTAAAAAAAATAAAATGAAGTTACTACCTATAGAATGAAGTAGGTGGCGCTATTATAATTTTACTCGAAAAAAATATAATATCTATGTGTCTAATATAATATATATTACATTTATTTACTATAAAATTAAATTTTCTTATATTTTATGCCGAACTTGTAGTTTAAATTATAATATTAAATAAATCATTTGCCGTAAAGTATTTGTATTTTTTATTTCATTTCACTTGAAGTTTTCACTTCTGTAGCGTGTGAGCTGCAAGCATGTTTTTTTTTATATTTGCGCGAATATTACCTAGTGAATAAAACTTATTCTAAACTTTCGAAACGTCGAGAATTGAAAATAAATAAAAAATAGCGAAAGCAAAAGTACCGCGATAAAATCCGTCAATAGTTTTAATCAATTTCTAAGTTTTAATCAACAATAACTGCACGTACTCTTATTAGTTTGTGAACTGCACTTTAGTTTATGATAGTTACATAACAAAAGTCGTAGTTTAAAAAAATCAATTTCGAATAAAATTTTATATTTTATTCATTATTGTAAATTTATTCGATTCGCTATTTGGCCACATTGTTATAATTATATAGTAATATTGTAAGTGTCATCAAGTAATTTTTTACAGGTTGTTTAAATATGACATGAAGCATACCTTTCTTCCGCATAAAGACACTGTCTGAAGAAGATGCCTCTTTCCATCATCGGCACCAACTGTATCGATCCATAGCTCTGCTGGTGCCCGATACACTTCGACAGCACACCTCCATGCTTCAAGTGTGGCATAGGTAAACATTTGCACCAGCTTAGCGTATCTCCAAGTTAAAGTCTGCGTTTGTTGCACATTCCCTGTACTTTTGAGTTCCATTATTGCTGTCAGTTCGTCTTTTATCCTGAAAGGCAGCTTTATGAACGTACGTGCTGTTGTTAAGGCGGCCTTGATGGTTAGCCGCGGCCATTTACGTGGATCCGCTGTTACAACAGGGGAGAATATTAGCTGGAAAGAAAATCTTATTTTGATTATTAGTCGGTATCAAATTGTTTTAAACGCTTTCTGTATTTGGGCATGTGTGTAACCGACAGATTTTTTTCAAACGTAAAGAACTATTTATCGTAGTATCGATATTAAATAAATCATAAAAAATTTCTTCTTAGACGCTGTCCTATTGCCATCGCTCGCACGATGATACGATGCGATTTCATCGTCCGATGAATCCGCACGCGCGATTTCTTCAGTCGCAGCGCATGTTCGCACGACGTTCAATAGGACATTCCTCAGATACGAGTATGTTTAAACGCTCGGTCGCACGATCATTTTCGTTGGACGCAACGCATGATCGCGCGAGCGATGGCAATAGGACAGCGCCTTAGACCGTAACACCTTCGCATTTTCCTTCACCTTCAAAAGCGTTGCCGTACACCTGATAAATTGCAAAGAGATGAACATCGTGAGGTTTTAGACGATACGAGTCCATCATAACCTGCCTGTCGCATGGGCGACCATGAAAATTTCCCCCTGTCAGTTATACGTTATCTATAATAATATTATCCTCTAAGCCAAATTTCAGTCGCAACAGCTAGTCTCAGCGAAGACTAGCCATTTGTGTAGGACAGGTTTACAGTGCACGAGTGTGTACGAGAGATTCGATTGTTTTTAATAAGGGTGACAAACGAGTACGCAGTATATGTGATGGTAAGTAAATCGCTGAGTCCTATAGACCTCTACATCTATCCACGATTAAGAATCACTGGTATTCTGTAAGAGTGTCCTTCCCCAGTCCTTTCCCAGAGCCGACCCATTTATGCTGCAACTATGTAGCTGCAGCATGGTACTACCTCGTAGAGAAACTTTGGTTCGAGTATTATTAGTAGATAGGCTGGCAATCTATCTAGAGAGATAACAGGCGCAAGGCCAATGGCTTTGCGTGCTTTCAGCGGGCGTGTGATGGGATACAATAGCTCACAGACCATAGTTACGGTCCTTTTACCAAATGTAGTTTTTATATTCTCTTTGCCTTCAAATCCGAACGTAATAATAATCTCAACCCCCCGTGGGGATCAACCCCCAGTAAATCATCCCCCCTACCCCAGAGTTCACCTAGACGTGGTGGGAGGGGGGGCTTTTGGAAAAGGAACTATTTACTAACGTTCAAATAAAATGCACCCTGGAATAATAACAAAACAAAAGGAACTACTTGCCCAATACAACTCGGTAATCCTTTCCCAAACTAACGATCCCATAATAGATAGAACGATGATTAGTGCGATGTAAACCACGGCAAGTAGTTCCCGGCAGGCTCAGTAGCCAAGCCGAGAACGACAGAAGCCCAAATGGCACTGAGTCTCGGGGAGCATACAATATTCGGTCGAGAAAGCTTTCCCGTCAAACGACTCAAGCGAGGACCTCGGACATCGATACACTTAGCGATAATGAAATTTTGAGCTCCCTCGAGAATGTTGTGCGGAAGGCATTAGCCCATAAATCTGTACCCGTCACCAGAGTGTACGCCGCAAATGGACTGAAGAGATGAATAAATTCATAGTGCGCGGTTATCTTACTATTACAAATTTTGAATAATGTAGACAAGGATACCTAGATTCTTTATATCAACAACTTTATCAGTAATTTCCAAACATTACAATGTTTAAGCAAAGGATAGATCTACTGAGGGCGGTAATGCGAATTAAAAAGTTTCTGAAGAATGAAGTATTTGATTAGATTTTTTTAATAGGATAGAGTAACAAACGAGCACACAGTACACCTGATGGTAAGTGACCCATAGACATCTACATCTACTCTCGATTAAGAATCAAAATGCAGATGCGTTGTCACACGTGAGGACTAAGATGGAATGCCTCGTTTCCAGTAAAAAGGGTCTCCGGTTCTCTACACTCACCATAAACACAGCAGCATTAGGCTACTATTATACGCTCGTATAATAGTACCCTAATGCTGCTGTGTATTCCGTGAGAGCGTGGTCTTTCCCCGGTCGAGCCGACCCTTTCGTGCTACAACTATACTACTAATTAAATTGCAGAATGGATCTACCACGTATGAAGATTAAAAAAGAAGTTGAAGAGAGTCTTAATACATTACCAATCTCCGAAGCACCGACAGTTGACAATACTCAACAAAAACACCAAACACGAGCTCAAAGAATGAGATGGACTACAGAATACAATGAATATATCATGAGATCATATTTTAAAATCACATAGTTTGGAAATAACTTAACTGTTATCAAGTTAAGTTCATTCTGCGTAGATCGGACTATAAATAATATTTAAAAAGCTGAAGCTACTCCAGGTTAATAATGACATCGGGATGAATGACCCGAAACGTCGGAAATTAAAAGTCAAGTAAATTAAACGCGATAAAATCCGTAAACTTTTACGGATTTTATCGCATTTAATTTACTACTACTAACTACTACTTAGTTTTAATCAATGCATCTAATATATGTTATCCACTTAATTATACGGATAGCACGGAGTCACCATCAAACATATATAACATAAACCACTTATTATATATGGATGACATAGAATTGTATGTCCCGAACCAGGAAGATTTAAATTTAAAACCAATTTGTAAAGAACAGAAAGCGTCTCATTGGGTATGGAGCGTGGTATTGAAAAAAGTAAAATTAATTCGATCAAATCAGGCCAGCTGTATAGATCACCAAACTTAGACTGGGCAAATAATAAACTCATTTGATTAAATGGAGACGTATAAATATTGAGGAAATTAAATTTACTACACTATAATGATATTAATTCAACATTAAAATAACAATTTAAACACAGACAAAACTAGTTTTTAAAGACTCATCTTGATGTGAAATATACAATAAAAACAATAAATACGTATGCCATACCGATACTAACTTATTCATTTGGAGTGATAAACTGGACTAATTCGGACCTCAAATACATCCAACGTTCAATAAATGCGACAATGACGAAACATTGGAATCATCACCACCGATCCTGTGTACAGAGAATGACGCTATCTTGAAGGGAAGGAGGCAGGGGTCTTATAGATATTAGGAACCTACACAATTTAGAGGTCTCCAATCTTCGAGCATACTTCTATAATAGAAACTCTACATATTGCGATAGCACAAAGTGATCGCAAGCCTACATCGCTTAATTTACAGGACAGAAATTGAGAAAAACAACGAAAAACAAGTTAGTAACCAAATTGAAATAAATTAATGGGTCCAAAAGTCTTAACGCGGAAGACACTGTCAAGATCTAAACCTACCATACGTCGTAAGGTCAGCGTCAAACGAGTGGCTGAAATGGAAGTGAGTTGCCCGAGACGGAAGGGTTAATCCTCGCTATTCAGGAACAGGTTATAGAAACTCGGAATCACAAAAACATATAATGAAAATCTAAAATACGACAGATGTTTGTCGTAAATGCAATAGCCCTCTAGAAAACATGCAACACATAAACGGATAATGTAAAGCAATAGTCCAAACAGACTGTAAATATAGACATGACCAGGTTGTTAACATCATACATCAAGAATTAGCACTAACATACAATATCATCCAAACTTCACGCACCTTAATATAAATATATTCCTGAGACAATCTTAGAAAATCAAGCAAATAAGTTATATTTCGATAGAGCTATACTGACAGACAAGACAGTCCACTTCAACATATTTGATATAACCATAGTTAAAAGAATAGAAAAAGTAGCAACTTTAATAGAAATAGCTGTTAATTCATAGAATCAGGCGTTACTTTGCGGAAATCCGTTATAATAAAGATATTAATAGTTACTTTGCAACCATCCGCTAAATTAAATAAAATGATGTTTCTTCCCTAGGTTGAAGAGCACCTCCCGCCCTCCCTCAATTGCGTGCACTAATCCTGTCACCACTAATCCCAGTACCACTACTCCCAACACCACTATTCTAGGAAAGACACACCACCGACGATAATACGACACGTGTTTCGCCTCTACACGAGGCATCTTCAGGTGATGTTGACTCTACGTTTTAAGTCTGACTTAGAATGGTGGTGTTGGAAGTAGTGGTGCTGGGATTGGTGGTGACGGGATTAGTGCACGCTATTGAGGGAGGGCGGGAGGTGCTCTTCAATCTAGGGAAGACACATCATTTTATTTAATTTAGCGGATGGTTGCAAAGTAACTATTAATATCTTTATTAGAAATAGCTGTACCTAATACCCATTATTTGCCGTCAACAATATCAGAAAAACTTACAAAGTATATAGACCTCGAAGATGAAATAAAGGTATGTGGAATCTCCAAACTGTTAGTATAGTACCCATAGTATTGTCCACCTTAGGGGACAATACCTATAGCTCTGCACTAGTCAATCAAATCACTCGATCTACCAGAACAAGTTTTTGTTAGTTTACAAGAGGCTGTTATCCTACACATATGCTGAATTGTTAGAAAGTTTTTGCAGTGTGAACAGATAACATGATATTAACTTTAATATACAGACTAATAGACGTCTACTTGGTTTTGATTCGTGAGCATCTTTGTTCCGGTAGTAATATCGAGGGTAAAAAAGTTACGTTTACAAATAATAATAATAATATTCTCCAGACCAAATTTCGGTCACGGCGGCAGCATTAACGGAGACTATCTATTGGCGCAGGGCAGGATTATAGTGCCCAAGTGTATGCGCAAGCACATGGGTTTCGAACCCCGCAATCTCATAGTCAGCAGTTGTGTTTACAACCACTAGACCAACGTGTTACGTTCGGATTTGACTGCCTTGAGGCCTTGTTGGTCAATGTTTATAATTGCTCACTGGGTGCAATGTTCATTACCGGTAGACATAGATAAGATAACAGGTTGATACCTGACCGATGGTTATTATTAATGTAAATACGATGTAAATTTTTCTCCTAAGTTTGAGCACCTTTTATTCTGATTATATTTCATATAATTCGATTTTAGAATTGGTTATTTCACTGTCTGTGAGATGCCACAAATTTTTAAGTATTTTATTTACTCGACTTAACCGACAGTCAAAGGGTAAAATGAGTCAAATAAATTCCTTTACGACGCCATCACATGGCAACTATGTCTATTTGCTTCATAGATAATAATTAATTACCCTTGGCACTGTTAAGTTCCTTCTTTTCAATTCCCGCTGAACTGCGCTGAAGAAAGATGCTGCTGTGAGGAAAGTTGGCTCCGCCCTATCGTTTAATTTTTTCTTTCTTAATTCTCTAAATGCGCTTGCAGCTGATATTAAAATAAGTCCTGCCACATGGAATGCACCCGGCATCGATTTAGACGCTTTAGGGTTTTCAACTGGATCATATTCAGAAATAAATTCATTCCATACATTTGATAAACTTTCGTTCAGTTTTCCCAACAGCTCCGGTAGGACTTTTGGTGTCGGGAACAGTTTGTTCAACGGGCTTAATTGCTCATAATTCGCTGTCCTTTCTTCGGGCTTCAATTGTTCGATAAGTAATAAATCACCAATGTTAATTGACTTCGTTCCCGACAAAAGCATGTGATGTACTCTTACTAGAATGTAATATTTAGGTTCAGTCGATACGCACGGTATAACAATATATTGCCACGGTGGTTGATCGCTAGGAAAATATTTAGATACTATTTCGCTAACGTAGTCCTGGAAAAGAAATTTTATTCAATTTTCATATTTTTATAACTATGATACCTTTACGTTATTAATAAAACACTTACTAAATTTATACTATTCATACTGTAATTTTCAAAACGGTAGGTATAGCCACTTATTAGAGATATAGGCTGAAGAAAGGGGAAGTATGCCTTTTTTATAGAATAAGAGTGGCAAACGAGCACATAGTCCACCAGGTAGTAAGTGTATGCCGTAGCCCATAAACATGTACATTTATCCTCAATTAAGAAGTAAAATGCAGATACGTTGTCACCCTTGAGGACTAGAATGCCTCGTTTCCAGTTAAGAGAGGTCGTTTACACTCACCAAACGAAACACAGCAGCATTGAGTTGCTATTTGAGCCGACCCATTCGTGCTAATATAGCTGCAGCAAGGCTCTAACACGTAGACCGTAGAGTTTGTATAGTAATGGAATCATATTCGGTTGATGTATTTCTATTCAAAGTGAATTTCCAGATATAGAGATATAAAGATAGACAGAAAAACAGACAATTTTTTATAAATAGTTATAAACTTAGCTTTTATAGAGAGATGATGATGATGAGATGAGCTTAATATTTACCCAGTTATTTCTCTATTACAGACAGTTACTTTAATTAGATTTATATGTAGTATCTGGATGACCGAGCTTTGCTCGGTATTTTTTTTTTGGAAGTCGTGTGGTTTGAAAATTATATTTAGATACAAATTACATACTGATGAAATATGTATAATATTTTTTGATTTTACCGACATAATAGAAAAAAATGAACTGGTTATTTGAATAAAATTCGTGTTTTAAAAAAATACTAAAAAAAGGGCTCGAAATAATAGATTTTTCACAAAAGTAGGGAACTTGAAGAAAAGTAAAAAAATCGGACCAGAGACGGGACTTTAACCAAAGCGCTTCGATGTTGCAACTGCCCGATATCCCACTTGAGCTATTACGATCGTTATCATGATGTCAAAATTTACCTTGTTATATTGTAGCAGTTTTTAACTGCCTGAAAACACGGACAAAAGGACATTTTCTAAAGATGAATACTAGCTACTTCGATCAACAATACCAACTATATAACGGATCACGTACAAGATCATAGCCTAAATACTGTCCGGTCCGCGTGAATATAAACTTAAACAGCCACATTTGTTTACTAAAGAAATGAGACAAAAAATTAAAATAGTTTTAAGCTCAACCTAATTACAACCATCGCATCTAGTAATAAAGTCACAAATCTTACGATCATTAGTCACAAAAAAAGAACAAAGCTATACAATACTCCTATCACTTGGAAATGAAAAGACATAAATTAAATAACCTTTGGTGTGAAATCAACCTTAACGTGTAACAAATAAAGTTCTTTTTCCCGTTATTGCGTTGCGAGCTACGTCATTTTGTTATGTTTCTGTTTTCTTCTTCGAATTTGGTCCAGGAAGTATTGAGTCGCGTTGAACACTAAAATAATTTATAATATGATCATAAGTTTAATTAAAGTTATTTTTATGTTTTGGACATTTATGATTGTTGGTATACATACTTTCCACACTAGCCATTAAATATAATATGGTATGTAGTATATTGATTGCTTTTAATTAACTAATTCAATATAAATCTATTTCAGTTTTTGTATGTGTATAGGTATATGTTCGTAGTATGTATGTATCTATGTATAGTATACATATAAATATGTGTATTCTTTTTTATCACACCAATTTGCCCTACTCCTGTCATCTTCATGTAACCCTGTCCATTTATTGGTTGTCTGGAAGAAAAGTGCTGTCAGCAATAAGATCGCTCATTGCATACTTTTAAAACGTGGTAGAGCCATGCTGCAATTATATTAGTAGTATAGTTGTAGCACTAATGGGTCGGCTCGACCGGGGAAGAAAGCTAGAAAAGCTAAAAAAATCTAAGTATCTATTGGAATTACACAAACAAAGATAAAAGTAGTAATTACCATTATTTTAAAGTTTTGGTAACGAATTATTAAAAATTATTACAATACAACTCTACTTCATGCGTCCATGTTCTGTATCACAAATGTTTGCGCGTGTATTGGTCAACATTGGCAAAGTGTTTGTAGGGGTGGTTTTGATCGGTAATTTTGTTTAAAATATGATATTATTTGTAAGTTTAGAGCTTAAAATATAACACATTATACATGTAATTACCGAAAGTAAGACACTCCGGCCGTTAAATTACTTTTTCGGGCATTATTCTTGCAACTTTTAAATACACATTGCGGCATTTTGAAACGTGTTTACGTTGGCTGTGTTTCAAGTGAACTAAACGAAACAAGAGCTCACGTCTCATGTGCGCTGCTATTTACTGAGATGGATTTCTTGCGCCGACCCGACATCTAGTTGGTATTGTTGATCGAAGCCTAACTAGATCGATTTATTGCCCCCGAAACCCCTTGGACACAAAATTTTATGGAAACCGTTGGAGCCGTTTTCGAGGTTCCGATTATATATATAAGAATTGCTCGTTTAAAGGTAGGAGATATGTACATAGAGAGCAGAAAGATTGATATTTGAGGTTTATGCAGAAGCCCACGGTCTAAAATATAATTTTGCGAAGAGTGAGCTCATGGTGTTTAAGGTTGGCACGAAGAAACCAAATTTCGTGCCACCTGTAACTTTAGGGGGTGTTGCACTTAAACGAGTAACTGAATTTAAGTAGGTACTTAGGCCATGTTGTTACCGAAGATTTAAAAGATGATGAAAGACATTGAAAGAGATAGGAGAGCGCTGGCTGTCCGCTGCAATATGCTGGCCCGTCGGTTCTCACGCTGTACAGCCGAGGTAAAAGTTATTTTATTTAAGGCCTATTGCCAATCCCTCTATACGTGTGCCTTATGGGTCAGATATACGCGGCGGGCATACAACACCCTACGTACACATTCCCTTTAGTCATCAGGTATGTTTGTTGACGCCCACGTAGACAATTTTTCAACACTTATTCAGACAGGGTTCGTGGGAGCGCCAACAGCATTCTTAACGTAATTAGTGAGAAACCCGAGTGTGCTTTTTTTGAGGCACTGGGTTCATGTCCATGTACCAATTGCCTCGGACAGGCACCCCAGGTACGAGGGTGGATTGAAAAGTACTCGGCCTAACCAAGAAAATAAACACATACTAAATAATAAATAAGTTATATTTTTATTTTTCTACATAATCACCATCAAGTTCAATACACTTTTGCCACCTCCCCTTCCAAGCATTTAGACCGTTGAAAAAAAAATGATTCTTCCTTAGAGTCAAAATATGCGTCTACAGCAGCTTTGACCTCGTCGTTTGTCGAAAATCTTTGACCTCCCAAGTGCTCTTTTAGGTTAGGGAACAAAAAGAAGTCTGATGGTGCCAGATCAGGTGAATAAGGCGGATGCGGTAACAGTTCAAAGCCACAGTTGTGAATTTCAGCCATTGACTGTACTGACGTGTGAACACGGGCGTTATCTTGATGAAACAGGACTTTTCTTCTGAGCATTCCTCGACGTTTTTCTTTTATTTCCTCTCATAAACGACGTAGTAAGGTGCAGTAGTAATCAGAGTTTATAGTCTGACCCCTTTCAAGATAATCAATCATAATCACACCTTTCGAGTCCCAGAATACTGAATCCATCACCTTATTTGCCGACAAAATCGACTTAGCCTTTTTAGGGGGTGGTGAACCAGGTCTTCTCCACTGTTTTGATTGTTGTTTTGTTTCCGGTGTACAGTAATGAACCCATGTTTCGTCCATAGTAACAAAACGATTCAAAAAATTATCTGCATCAGCTTCAAATAACTCCAAACAGTCGCGTGAAATAGTCAATCGCGTCCTTTTTTGTTCAACTGAAAGCAGTCGCGGAACCCACCTCGCAAACACCTTGTGGAAACCCAACTCGTTGACAATGATGTTTTGAGTTCGTTCATAAGAGATGCCTATAATCTCGGCTATCTCTCTAATTTTTAATCTGCGGTCTCCCATTATTAAATCAAGTACTTTTTTAATATTTTCGTCAGTAGTTGACGTCGAAGGCCTTCCAGAGCGGGGTTCATCTTTCACTCTCTCTCTCTACCACGCTTAAATTCTGCTATCCATTTTTTGACGGATGAATATGACAGAGCACAATCGCCTAATGTACTGACCATGTCATCATGGATGGCTTTTGATGATAGCCCCTTCTTATGGAGGTACTTAATGACGGCACGCTGCTCGATTTGCTCCATTCGCGGAAATTATGTCCGATTACTTTGTTAATAAATTTATAAAATCACAACTAATTATCGCACACGTTTCGAACTTCACACAATGAACTAGTCTGAACTGAACTAAATAATGTGGGTAGATTTGATTTTTTAGAATTGAATGGATCTGTGTTAGGCCGAGTACTTTTCAATCCACCCTCGTATATGAACTAATTTATTACCTAATTTTACTTACATATATTTAAGACTTTTTCTTTGTATTTTTAATTTTATATCATTATGGTAAGTTTTGTTGCTGGTTTTGTTAATATATAATTAAATCGGATATGATGTATGTGTAAAGGTGAAATCGATTTATGTTATTTTATTATTATTATTATTAAATTATTATTTTATTTTCGATATTATGATAAATACTTGCGCATTTGATATAATTAATATTAGTAATGATTTATACTTTTAGTATTAGAATAGATGTTAATGAATGTTATTTTACCCTATGATCCTTGTTGATTGAAATAAATTAATAAATAAATAAATAAAAAATTATAGTCTTCGCCTTAAAAGCCAGTAATATAAAAATACACTATATTACAATAGTAATGTATTTACAAACTGAAACTGATAGTGTAATTGATAGTCTCCGTATCGGTAGTTCATCGGTCGCCTGCAAACCACTCTACTCGTATGTTTCGTCGCTGATTCGCTCATGTCGCTCAGATGGGAATCGAGGTCATGATAATGACATACATTGTTACCATAGCAAGAGCTGCATATAAAACTTTTTTGTCCCGACTGATATATTACAATAAATAACATATACATTAGATTATGGTTATATGGTTATAGATGATTTTTGGTAAAAAGACCAATCAAATAATTTACGAACTTTTTACCTCACCTGGATATTAGCATCGGACACCGGCCTGCCTCGATAAATAGCGTTCGAAACTATAAAGTGATTGTCAGGTCTGAAAGACACGTTAGTGTCCCATGCGTAGTTGCCCCAGTGCGATACAAGACATTGCCGTAGTCTTGGGAACATTAGGTCGCCATCTTTATCTCGGCGGTCGATCACGTGTTGAGTTAGTTCGTTTCTTATTTGTTCTTTATTACACGACCCTAAAATTTTAATTTGTATATACTATTATACCTAAAATTTCAATTCGTATAATATGTAGTGCCTATTATTTGAGAGTGTATTAAATAGGGTAGGTACGTTTGTCGCTGAATACGCTTACTTTTACCCTACGACTACGAGCACTTCTTATACCACAGTATAATAAAGACACATACACTTTTACATTAGCTTTTATTTGGGGTTTTTAGTTCTATAAGTGGAAAGTTGTAAATGGCGTAATAGTTGCATTGTTATACTTTTTTAAATTAAAATAAGTAATAGCAGAAAGTTTTCCGGATAAAATGAAATAAAAATAACTACTCTAGTCCGATCGGTACAGTCAAAATATTCTTTTAGACTTGCACAAGGCGAGAACTTTGAAGTAGTACTCGCGATACCATCCATACCATCTGGATGGCTTGCGATACCATCCATACCATCTGGAAGTTTTCTTCCTCGCACAACTACCCTGTGGAATCGACTACTACCAGATATTTTTCTGGACCGATACCACTTAAGGACCTTTAAGAAAAGAGCCTACTCATTTTTAAAAGGCCGGCAACGCATCTGCAATTTCCCTGGTGTTGCAGTTGTTCATGGGCGGCGGTAGTCACTTACCATCAGGTGAGCCGTATGCTCGTTTGCCCCCTCTCCTATTAAAAAAAAAAACAAGTTTCATTTACTATTTTATAGAATTTCGACCCAATTAAATCTTATAAACATATGAAATGACCTTTTATATACAGCGTTCCAAATAGAAATAATAATTATAAAATTGTTATCCGCATAATAGGCCATTGGCATCAGAATTTGATAGTAGTTCACCAAAAATTCTTTTTAAAATTGTCCGATAACGAACCCAACGAAAGTTCAATGATCTACCGACGATTGGTAACTATAGACTGATAATATAAATATATATATTACACTCACCTTTGATACAGAGAAGTACGTTAATGATGCCTTGGTTTCTTTGAGTGTCTAGCAAGGAACGGACTGTATCCGTTCTGATGAATTCTAAATGTGGATATCGATTCGACAACAGTTTTATCCACAGATGCTTGCTTAGTCGTACAACTGAAACATTAGAATTAGTGATTATCATTTGATATTTATAAAAAGGGAGGATTTCGATATTTCAGTAAATGGATCATATATAACATAGAATATAGGTATCTTCGATTAGAATTCCTGAAAACCGAATCGAATCATTGAACTCTTGTGTATCACCTAAGGTTGCCAATACTTGAGTAGCTTATCGTTTTTAAAAGAATTTTAATACCCATTGTCACTTCAGCTTACTCATTCGTTCGTTCTGAGAAAATAATCAATATCTGCTCACAGTTGATGAAGATATCGCGTAACATACTTATGTATATATTATACGTGAGCCGTGCTGCAGCTATATTATGGTTGTAGCAAGAATAAATCAGCTCGACCGGGGAAGGACCACGCTCTCACAGAATACCATCGTAAAATAACAGCGTAATACTACCATGTATCGTATGGTGAGTGTAAGAGACCCTTTTTTACTGGAAACGAGGTATTCCATCTTAGACCTCAGGTGTGACAACGCATTTGCGTTTTTATTTTTAGTCAAGGATAAATGTCAAATGTAGAAGTGTATTTTAATAATTTTCATGTTTTTATGAGACTCAAAGGTAGAGCTTTAATCTGTCGTTAAAGCTGCCTCAGCGCTATTCCCACCCCGCTATTTCTTACATTGTATTAAAAAAAGATTCAATATTTTTGTCTAGATCAATTTTAAAAAAGCGCTGATTTAACAAGTAATTATGAGTTTTTCACACTAAAAAAGCCTGAATTTCTGAGAAATTATTAAATATTGCTCAATATATTCCACCGAGTAGTGGCGATGCAAGAATATCCACTAGAGAAAGAAGCGACAGAGGGAAACTGTAACAGGAGATGGGCAGCAAGGCAGCAGTATCTTACTGATATCAAGTCAAAATAATAAATAACTGTGGTTGCCAATCCGCGTGCCAAGCGTTGGAACTACAGCAAAATCCCTCCTATAAAGCAATCTAAGAGGGAGGCCTATGTACAGCAGTGAACTTTTATAGGCTGTAATGGAATGGAACGGAATGGAATGGAATAGCTCGAAATATTAACAAATATGTTATAGAAAAAATATTCGGGCGCAGTCTGACTACACGCATTGGTACAACGCGCCGGAGACCTCGTTGCTAGAAATAAGAGGGGACCAGCGCCAAGCTATTTAACGTACTTAGGTTCTTTTATACATTATGAAATAATTCTTGACAATAAATAAACTTCAAACAAGTTAATAAAGTTTGTAAACACTTTAGAAAATGATTACAAGTGTGAATTAACGCTTTTTCCAAAATAATGATTTTATCGTTACACTTGTCCATATTTATCATGGCATATATGTATTTAATTTTTTATGTGGTAGGGCTACGCTACTGCTATATTATGGTTGTAGCACGAATCGGTCGAATCGACCGGGGAAGAACCACGCTCTCACAGAATACCAACGTAAAATAGCAGCTTAATGCTGCTGTGTTTTACTGCAATCGATGCATTCCATCTTAGTCATCAGGGGTGGCAACGCATCTGCATTTTGATTCTTAATCGAGGGTAGATGTTTATGAGCCACAGCGTCCACTTCCCGTCATTTTTCAACGAGTGGCCAAATATTTGAAAATACGAGTAAATAAGGCTTCTACTTTTGTTTGCAATTATTACAAATTGTGTGTGATTTATGGGCAGCAACGTTTTTGCCTACTGATCTACCCTTATATTATATTACGAATGTGTATGTGCACAGTAACATCAGTTAAAATAAAGTTAACTATTTTACCACGCCATTTGAATTTAAAATATAAAAAGGACAGAATTTTTGAGATGTTTTATACTCGTAATTTTTTTTATATATGTATATACAATTTATTTTCTTTTTGTTGTTGTTTTTTTGCTGCACTATCTCTCATATATTTATCTGTGCTCTGTAGACTGAGAGCGAATTTCTTAAGGCATTAAATATGCCATATGTTTCTTTTTAATAGTAATACATATATTTATAATTTCCAAAAAATATATTTCAAGAGTGACGCAATAACCAAACCAAATCCATGCTCAACGTATTGTACAAACACGCATGATGTAAACACCAAAACAGATCTATTTAGAATAATTTACACGAAACATGGTGTTAGGTGCGTTCAGCATTAAACTTTTAGGGGTTAAATTAAAGAAAGAAGTAAGATGAGTGTACGAGTGAGTGTTTTAACGTAGAGCGTGGTTTCGGCATCTCTTGGAATGAACGCAGTTCTCCAAATATCTTTCTTTGTTTGTATTTTCTGTTATGTATACAAATAAAGCATTATTACTACTGTTGCTTACCTACATAAGACAAAGCCAATACCGGTAGTGTTGACACAGCGATCCAAAATCCACAATAAGTATAAAGCTCTTTTGCGATTCTTGCTCGGACACTCTCTCTTTTCTCTTTTTCCATCGCGTTTGATCGCTTTTCAACGTCCGACCTCGCGCTTTCACTGCAACCTACTGATACCTATAATGATCTATGACTGAGAGTTGCGGACACGACGTAGATATAAAATGTTTGTAAACAATATGTACAGTTAAGAAATGTTATAAATATGATGGAATAAAACTAATTTTACGAAATTTATCTTATTTTTAATTACACTTATTTTTGATTACCAACATTTCAACGTCACAGGAGAACATTGTGCTGTACGACACAATGTATGTATGCCCTACTAATTGTTCCGGGTCTGTATGATTGTCCATGGGCATTTTATGTATATATGTAAACTGTTGCAAGTGCAGGAGGAAATCCTAGTGTGGGAGAAAATCCTACTTCCTAACGTTCTTTGAAATAAAAAAATAAAAAAGTAAGTACATTACAATTCAAGGAAACTTTTTATATGTATTAATAATCGGCACTTTTTAATTGAAAAATTGTAGAATACTAAATGATTATATACAGTATGTCCGGTCACGGACTAGCGATATTCTAGGTAATTATAATACAGCTATTTTAATACAAAAATACACTACACACTGAGGTCTAATCCCCTACCCCTCTATGTGGCGGCCATTGAGATATTGCGACACATTTTAACAGTGGTAGAGCCACGCGGCAGCTTTGCTGTTGCACGTATGGGCCGGCTCAAACCGGGGGTGGTACCATGACCTCACAGAATACCGGCGTGAAGTGGAAGCTCTGGTTCCGCGTTTCGTCTGGCGAGTGCAGGTGACCGGAGGCCCAAATCCCCCCCCCTTCATCAAAATGGTAGCGGAATTAAATGATGATAGACTACCCCAGGAGGGTACCAGCACCCTTGGAGAATCCCTCGCTGAGCATCCACGACCATGTTTCTCCACTCCTGAGCGTCGGTGCTCAGGCTGCCCCGCGTATTCAGGGGGGGGGGAGCAAAATTCTGCTCCAGATTACAACTGCTCGAGGCAAACGGAGCAACAAGACCAAGGCGACCCCTGCCACGCTATCCGTGAATTTCTGCAATATAAGGGGACTTCACTCTAACCTAAACGCCGTCCACTGCCATCTCGAGACGACGAGGCCGGCTCTGCTCTTTCTGACCGAGACGCAGGTGTCCTCTCCGGCTGATGTCTCGTATCTCTCCTACCCGAGACACAAACTGGAACACTCCTTTATGCCTCAGGCTGGAGTTTGCGTTTACGTCAGAGAGGACATCTGTTCGCGACGCCTCGGCAGTCTTGAAGGTTCGGACCTGTCCATCTTTTGGCTACGCGTGGACAGCGACGACCATAGAGGTAATTCCGAAACAGACCGACTCTTCGACCACGTCCAAATGGCTACAGATTCGTTGCTACAGCAGATCCCCTCCGCAGAGATCGTGATCCTCGGCGACTTCAACGCCCATCACGCCGAATGGCTTGGTTCACGTTTAACCGATCATGCGGGGAGATCTGTTGATGATTTTGCCTTGGCATATGGTCTGACACAACTGGTTACTTCGCCTACGTGGATTCCAGATGTGGAGGATCATGCACCTTCTCTGTTGGACCATGTGCTGACCTCTCACCCGGACGGATATCAGATTTCCGTCGACGCCCCTTTAGGCTCCTGGGACCATTGTCTTGTCCGGAGTTTGGTGCCACTCACGCTGAAATCACAGTTGCATTCTGCAGACTGCCGCCGTGTTTGGCAATATAGGTCAGCCGATTGGGATGGGATGCGGTCTTTCTTTGCATCCTACCTTGGCGGGTTTGCTTTTCGCCGGATGATCCCAACGTTGTTGCGGATTCTGTCGCTGATGTGGTACTTCAGGGTATGGAACTTTTTATTCCTTCCACCACAGAGGAGGCATTGGCCCATTGGAGGCAAATCTTAGCCATGGTTTCGTTGCTCCTGTAAAATAGCATCATGCTATAAGCAGGAGTGCTACCAAGCCTGGGCTGACGCATCAACGTCCCGGGATGTAAACACCAGCGCTCTAAAAAAGAAGTATAATTCCGCCTCTAGGTCCTTCAAAAGAGTCCAACCATAATACTGCAGCATGGCTCTACCACGTATACCATAACATAGTTATATTAAAGTGTTTTCATAACGAACAACGAAACGAACGTACGAACGAAAAAAATCCTTACTAGGAATATAATCAAGACACAAGCACGATCTAGTAATATAACTATCTTGTTGACTAATCTAGTGAAATAATTATAGGTACATATATATTATAAGTAACTCATATGAAAGAAAATTGTTCAATTAATTAAAATGTTTTATTACTCAATCATCACAACCAAACAAACAACACATGTTATAAGTAGTGAGTCAAATAATTCACATTAATTAAGACAATCTGTTTTTATATTTAGCCATAGAATCAACAAAAGAAAGTACTTTATAAAAATTTTGCCTATAATAAAGAACTAAACAGGTACTTCCATCTTCCTTTAATCTTTAGCGTTTGCTACGAAATTGTCACAACCAAAATAAACAATATGTATTATAAGTAGGTAATTAGTACAATAACATAAACATTTCGTTTACACGAGTAACACGAGAGTGCTCCTGTACATTCGGTTTACAATTACAATTATTTCACTAAATTTGTCTAGTATAATATAGTCATATTACTAGATTATGCTCGTATCATAGTTATATTCTTAGTAATACAGAATTTCGAAATCGCTTTAATATAACTATATAGCGGTATATATAGCTCTATTCCTATTGATCCAGACCAGAGATTCTAATTAGACCAGAGAGTCTAATTATTAACTTATAATTTCACGGCTTCAACAATCTTAGTGCGACATATTTATAACTATATTATGGTAAATATATATATATATGTATATATATATATATATATATATATATATATATATATATATATATATATATATATATGTATATATACATAACGGTAATCACAGAGTTTTTGTTACATGTACATATTATATACTAGTAACGAGATATTAGACAACGAGATTCCAAGTTCTCATGGGTTAGACAACACATCTACGTTTTGATTCCTAATCGAGGACAGATGTACGTGGATGTCTATGGGCTCAGGATCTGATGGACTTTGTGCTTGTTTGCCACCTGTGTTGAATAAAAAACGCTTTTAGCCGCTTAAGTCTCAATTTTGAAAAAACGCGCGACGGATGTAGAAGTTGTAATCGAAAAAGGAACATTTTTGAACACCGCGATTAAAAGGAAATAAGCCACAAGAGATAAAAATTAAAAGCGTTTTAAAAAGGTTTTATTTGTTGTGCGGTCTATCATAAAAAACAACTAACGACTTCCTTTTCCTACCTCCTTTTAGTCTGGGATTTTTTCAAAAATTTTATTTAATACTTTTTCGATTACAACTTTTACATTCGTTACCGACACTGTTACCGTAACAACCCATCTACCACTGTATATAGGCCTCCCCATAGATCGCATCGTGGGGGCGATATTTGCAGGAGTTGCCACGCTTAGGAAGTGGGTTGGCAACCGCAGTTTTTATTTTGGTCGTTATAAGGAAGATGCTGCGCCCATCAGATTTGTCCTCTTCTGTCGCCTTTTACAACACCCACGGAATGATATGGGATAGTAGATATTCTTACACCGCCACTGTACGGTACTTTTATATTCGTCGCGGGTTTTTTCAAAAAAAAAAAAAATATTTTGCTTTTTATTTAAGACTTTTTATAGAATTCCTACGTTACGGCCTAAATATCTGTATATCTCTGTATCTACTCAACGATTAACGAGTGGGAGAACTGAGTATAGAACACTATCAGCTACTCTCTCTACCCAAATGTATGGTAAATAGTACTGAAAAGGATATGGTATTAACATCAATGGCGAGTACATGACCCACCTTAGATTTGCCGACGAGAAATAAGGATATCCGCAGTAGAACCAGAGTAAGCGACATTGTCCAACGGACTAAAAAGCTAAAGTGACAACGGGCCGGCTATATAGCTCAAAGAACCGATAACCGATGGAAAAGTAAGGTTTTCGAGTAGCAATCTAGTACCGGGAAGTGAAGTGTAGGGCGGCCCCCATAGTGATGACCTGCTAAAATATGCAGCAAGAGGATGGATCACCTACATCCATGACCGATCTGAGGACTGTGCTTTGTGGCATATTTTGGGGGACGCCTATGGACTGAAAATGGCAGCATGGGAGTTGTGCGGGGTTTTTAGTGGGAAGGGTTAGCTGGAAAAGAAGTCCTAATCCAATTTAAGGACCACTTTATCGGCAGAACTTACCATGATAAAAATAGTTGGGTAAGCATAACTCCAATGAGTGTATAATTTCAAGGCAACAAAGGTGCTGGCAAAATAGAAAAGGTTATGATTCCAATCATATTAGGTTGGGTTACAGTGCATATATTGTAAGGCACTACATTCGATATAGCGGCATATGATAAGACGGGCATACATCTTGAAACCAAAATATTCGCCAAAGCTTTAATTCGCAATCGCAATGCAAATAAGCTTGCTTTATGTGACTTGCTTTATGTTGTGACCCCCACACATCTACATTTATTCTCGATTAAGAATCAATATGCAGATACGTTGACACCCCTGAGGATCAAGATGGAATGCCCGGTTTCTAGTAAAAAAAGTCTCCTGTTCTCTACATTCACCATACGACACACAGCAGCATTACACTGGTATTCTGTGATTGAGACTGGTGATCTGTTATTGCGCTTTCATTTATTGCATGACAATTGATAAGCCAAGGTGACCCTTGTATACGAACGTGCAAAACTAAATTTTTGATCATTAATTTTCGTTTGTAATATTTTTTAATAAGTTTTGAAATCAATATGAAATGTTGTAACTATAAATAGTTGTCTTAATATACATATATTAAAAAAAATATTTATAATTAAACATTAAATTAAAAACAAGTAATTTTAGTTTTTCTTTATTATATTTACCTAATATATATATATATATATATATATATATAATTTATACTGAAATGTAATTATT